GCGCGCGGGCGCCTGAAGGCCTGTAAGGGACTCATGAGTTATGCCCTGATAGGCATTGGCAATACCCTGGGGTGGGCCAGGGTTCGCTCACCTGTAAGATCAACTAAGATCGGGCCTAGCGGTGTGTTGTATATCCTTACATATGTCACCCTGGCGCTAATCAGCTTCGTCCTTTTCGTCCTCGCCCCTCATCCTCATGCTGCTGCAGCTCCGCCTTATCAAACGGATCCCCCTCGCCCTTCCTCATCGGAGTCGTCCTCATCTCGTGATTCTCTCCTGAGTCCTGCCCTTCGTGCACCCACTCGTTTTGGAACTCAGATTCCCATACTGCACCCCACGATGCATCAATGTCGAGGTACGTAGCACCCCGAAGATGCGGATAAGAGTGAGGGGGGGTGGGGACGTCGGCAGTCTGCGAGACTCTGGAGAAGCTCGCCGCAGGCGCCAAAACCTCACAAATTATACAACGAGCTCGCCGCAGGCGCCGATTTTCTCGTTTAACCAATGTAGGTAGGTCGCGGGTGGGTCGCAAATGGGTCGCAAATAGATCGCGGCTGGGTCGCGGCTGGGTCGCGGGGTGGGTCGCGGGGCGGGTCGCGGGGTTGGTCGCGGATGGGTCGCGGGGGGGTCGCGAATTGGTCGCAGGTGGGTCGCGGGTGGGTCGCGGATGGGTCATGGGGTGGGTCGCGGGGTGGGTCGCGGGGTGGGTCGCGGGTGGGTCGCGGGGTGGGTCGCGGGTGGGTCGCGGGTGGGTCGCGGGTTGGGTCGCAGGTGGGTCGCAGGGTGAGTCGCGGGGTGGGTCGCGGGTTGGGTGGCGGGGTGGGTCGCGGGTTGGGTCGCGGGTCGGTCGCGGATGGGACGACGACAACAGACAAACAACAACGTTAACAACGCAACAAACAAAATTATCACCACGGATCCCCACTTCAACCACGCACCCAAGGACAATGAATGACCGTTCGGACCCCTAACTCTGACCACCGTCATGCCATAGCCATAAGCTGTTTGCTCTGCTACTGTACCCTCCCACTCCATTGCCACCGCCGCAATGGAGCCACGCCCACCAAAGAGGCGAAGGTCCCAACCCATGCTGCTGCGACCACCTCCCACGACTCAGGCTGAGATCGACGCGAGACTTCAACGACAGAGGGACGCCGGTTCCAAGTTACTTCAGAAAATCAATGTGGGTAGGTCGCGGGTGGGTCGCAAATGGGTCGCAAATAGATCGCGGCTGGGTCGCGGCTGGGTCGCGGGGTGGGTCGCGGGGTGGGTCGCGGGGTTGGTCGCGGATGGGTCGCGGGGGGGTCGCGAATTGGTCGCAGGTGGGTCGCGGGTGGGTCGCGGATGGGTCATGGGGTGGGTCGCGGGGTGGGTCGCGGGGTGGGGTCGCGGGTGGGTCGCGGGGCGGGTCGCGGTGGGTCGCGGGTGGGTCGCGGGTTGGGTCGCAGGTGGGTCGCAGGGTGAGTCGCGGGGTGGGTCGCGGGTTGGGTGGCGGGGTGGGTCGCGGGTTGGGTCGCGGGTCGGTCGCGGATGGGACGACGACAACAGACAAACAACAACGTTAACAACGCAACAAACAAAATTCTCACCACGGATCCCCACTTCAACCACGCACCCAAGGACAATGAATGACCGTTCGGACCCCTAACTCTGACCACCGTCATGCCATAGCCATAAGCTGTTTGCTCTGCTACTGTACCCTCCCACTCCATTGCCACCGCCGCAATGGAGCCACGCCCACCAAAGAGGCGAAGGTCCCAACCCATGCTGCTACGACCACCTCCCACGACTCAGGCTGAGATCGACGCGAGACTTCAACGACAGAGGGACGCCGGTTCCAAGTTACTTCAGAAAATCAAAGAGCTCTACGCAATAGGGAAGATAAGCGCTGCAGATATGTGTATTCTCTGCTATTGGTGTGACCACGCTGAGGTTTCGGGGGGCGACTTCCACACATACGCGCTTCCACCTGGCCTGCAAACGGGCCGATACAGCAGAGATTTGGACGAATGGTTGCCGTGCCCAGCAATGGTTGATGAAATCGCATACCCTACCACTGACAAGCTTACTGGAGTCAGGAGTGAACTACGTACCACAGCAACCTTACTTCACGAGGCTCTCGCCGTGGCGGTTTCTAAAGACAGAGATATCTGCACGGTAGGCCCTGACACTAAACTTCCAGATGTGTACTGGGACCACACACTTGTAAAGCGAGCCCAAAGACGTGCCTCTGATCTCCCACTGCCATTGGCAATATATACTGATGGAGTTCGTTTCAGCGCAAACACATCATCTAACCCAGATTCTGTTTTGGGCTTCTGGTGTACGAACGTGCTCACTCGCAAAAGGATCCTCATCACGACCTTGCGGTCGCGAGGGGCGTGTTCTTGTGGGTGTAGGGGGTGGTGCAGTGTGTACCCCGTCCTTGCTTACATCAAGTGGTGCATTCAGATACTAGCCGATGGGGTCCGACCGACCGACAGGTGCACTGGCGATCCATACCCTGACGATCACCCTCTGGATCGCGCAGCGAAGTCGAAAGGAGGAGCATTGGGGTTCACAGCGTGCGTTATATGGCTAAAACTAGACTGGTCGGACGCGCTGCACACACACGGGCTGCCTAGCGTGAGCTCGACATGCAGCCCTTGCGCATTGTGCAACGCGACGGCCGAAGACATGCATGCATTCACCGACTTGTTGAAACTATCGAAGTTACCTTGGGCCCCTCGGGGCCACCGCGAGTATGAGATGTTTTGCCAGTCGTGCGAACTTATTGTTACCTTACGTTCAGAAGCAGATCGAGCTCTCATATTGTCCAAACTAGAATATCGGAAAGGGCCAAATCAGTGGGGGAGAACATTGAAATCTGATTGCTGGACGCTCAAAGAAAAAGATGTCCTGGTCCCGAGCCCAAGCCTTTTGGACATTGGAAAGCTGGAAACAAAAACACTACCATTGAGCATCACGTTCTGGAGGCGAAAATATGGGTATGATGGGGGCCGCGTCGACGGCCCAGCTGTTTGGAGAAATCCCATTTTCGATTTGAACCTTGGGTTAGCTCCTGCAACCATCGTTGCTGTTGATACATTACATACGTTGTACCTGGGGGTGTTCGGCAGATTGTCAACAGCAATACTACACCGCCTTATCATACACAACCCGTGGGGTATACAAGGCAACAAAAGTACTCGGGTCAACTTGAGCTGTAGGCAGTTGAAGGCATCGATGTTTGAATGGTTCGATTCTGCTGGTATTCCACACAAAGACAGGCTAAGCGATCTTACGGCAAAAATGTTAGGGGACCACGGGGACTATGACGACTCCGAGGTCAATCCGCACCCAGGAGTGCCACCCAAGACCAAAGCTTTCGAATATTGGATCTTACTTTTGTTTGCTGCCCATTTAGTTGACATGTATCGGGGGGAGATTCCATTCGACACAGACCTCAGAGTTGCTTGTGCATGCGTTATAGAATTCATGGACATACTTAGACATGAAGGCCTTGTTGTTTCAGAATATAAGTTGCAGAAGCTGTTCGACCTGATGGTTGCGGCTTTGCACCGATGCGAATCAGCTTGCGTGCATTTCACCCCGAAATTCCACTTCGCCATCCACGTGGCGCATCGGACCACCCAATGGGAGTTTGAAGAGATGGGTGGAAATCATGCTTAGCCGATCTGACATGCCCACATGTTCGCAAGTTTGGGAAAATGGGGCGAGGGAGGGGTGCAACATGAATCTACGACTGAGGGGGATGTTTTGTTCAACTGGTTTCGCATTCGACATGGGGCCCACTCTGGGTGGGAATTGTTATTTATCAGGGCCCCTGTGGCCCATAGCTGAATACTCACGCCCGTGGACCGCTCGCCGATCCCTCCCCCGTCCCATTTCCCAAACGCCCCATCGTGGCACATTGCCCCGTGCAAAGAGAGCAACACCAAAACATCCCCAGAACAGTGGCGCGGGAAAACATTGAAGAGGGTGAATGTGTCAAATCGGCTAAGAAGGCAAACGCCCGTTTCCTCCCCTCCGTCCTCTCGCTCCCTCGCTCTCCCTCCCCTTCTCGATAACTCTCCCTCTTCCTCCGACTCTCCCTCTCCCTCTCCATCTCTCTCTCTCTCTCTCTCTCTCTCTCTCCCTATCCCTCCCTATCCCTCTCCTTTGTTCTGTCTCGCTCTCTCTGTCTCTCTCTCTCTCTCTCTTTCTCTCTCCCCCTCTGTCTATATCTATATACCTATATATATATATATACATATGTATGTGTATAGAATGTTCTTCCGTACTGTGCCACTACCCTGAGGATCAGATTCCACGGGAACCCGAGGTGGTACTCGACTTTTGTCGACGAAGGCCTGAATAAGACATTGAGGGAGGTGGCCCAACATGCGCACCCGATGAAATTTGGCATTCGTTGCGTGCGGACCTTTAATCTGATCGCGGAATTTGGCCTCAATCCAGTTCTGAGCCCCTTACCGTGAAGCTGATACTTGCTACATGTCAGCAGGGCCGATGTCTGATCATCCTCCATGGTTGCGCAGTGCTGCTATTCACGTGGCATCTCGCCTAGGCTTCAAGGACCCAGGGCTGCCCCTAAAACAACGAATCGGAAATGGAGACGGGGCAGAGGTGGAGGGAGGGTTTGATGTGAGGAGGGAGGGAGGGATGAAGAGTGGAAGGAGCATCGCGAAGGTAGAGAAGAAACAAGATGGAAGGGGGAGGGAACCGGCAGGCTCAGGAAAAGACGAGGCGGGGAGGTCGTGCATGCGCACGCGTGCACATGCGACTCACCGTGGGACCGCACACGTTTTTGTTGTTAACTTGCTGCCCATCAGGAGTTTTTCATATTTACGCCAATGTTGGTTCCAGTGGCTGCTCTCATGGATGCTGTGTCTGAGTATTTCGACAGCCTCCCATGCCTCTCCGAAGGGACGAGCGTGGCCCGAACACTCCACATGGTGCTGATTTTCGGCGGCAAAGGTGGTGCGGCACGTGCGCACCAGGATAAAGGGCTCAACGCAAAATCCTTTGACAAGGTGAATTCGCATCGTGAGAACTTGTTGTCGGTGTATGGGCTCATGTACGCAGTGTACCTCATCCGCTCAGTGGTGGTGGGCGGCACTGTTTGGCTTAGCCCTGATTGTTCGTCGTGGCTCGTGTTCCTGACCCGCAATATTTACAAGCGGACCTTGGATAATTTGAAAGGCGACGTGACGAAAGCCAAAACCAGAGAGGACAATGCTTGCGCAGAGGTTACAGCATATTTGGCCATGATGGCTGCTGTCCGTGGTGCCTACATTGCTGTGGAGAACCCGCTCGCATCGTTGCTGTTCAAGTTTGCTCCTATTGCCTCTGCTCTGCAGATACTGGGGGCGAGGAGGGTAGTCACATATGCAGGTGCATTCGGGGGAGCCTCTATGAAACCTTTCGAACTCTACCTCACAAACCCATCGGCGAGTACTTTCATCGAGAGGACAAAGCGTGATGTGAAGCGCAAAAGAGAAGAGATGGGAACAGTGTCTGTACCGTTGACAAAGAAAAATGGCCGCTGGACGGACGGGAACAGAACAGCCACAAAAGCATCGGCCGCCTACCCAGAGCTCATGTGCAAAGCTATCAGCGACATGGCCGAAGCAGATTTTAACGCGCGTGCATGGGCTTCCAGTTGATGAGCCTTGATCGCTTGACCAGTTCGTTGCTTTACGTAGCTCGATTGGTGCACCCATTGCTTGGATGGTGCACGCTGTTGTATCATATCGTGGCAGGGGGTGCATACTTAGGTCACCCTCGCGAGAATAGAACGCAATCGCACTTCTGTTGAGGCACGCGCTGGAAATATCGCAATGCAAGCGCACTGTACCAAAAACGCACCCGACACGCAAACGCACGCACATGCACACACACACAAACACACACACATACACAAACACACACACACACACACTCACACACACACACTCTCACACACACACACACACACACACTGGAGCCCATGCACGAACAGTATGGTGGACGGGAGCAACAGCACGTGCAAGACAGTGTATAAGTAATGCGTCGGCGGACCCAGGATGACGTTTACCTCCTGGGAGGGGGGGGGGGGCGTATGGTTATCTTCGCGCCCCCGTCTGGTCACCATTCACGCTGGAGGCCCTTGCGGGCGGTTCGATCTGTGCGCCATTGGGGGTTAGGGCGGGGCCAGCCGCCAGTGCCCCCCGTGAATATAGAGGCCCGTGATTATATAGAGGCTGATCCTAAGAACCATCCCCATGCCTCCGCCCCCTCCCCTCCATGCCACTCTCTCCCTTGTCACCGCTCACGCGCCTCTCCTCCACGCCCGGGTCCTCTCCGCATGATCCCCTCCCCTTCCTGCCCCTTCCGCCCCCCGTCGCCTCGCTCTGCATCCACTAAACCAATCCCTTGCCTCCCACTCCTCTCCCCGTTCCTTCCCGTCTCCCTCTTACTCCAGCTCTCGTCATCCAACCTCAACCCTCACACGGCCACCTCCCTTGACAAAAGCATCCTGGCACCCTCCGAAGCACTCGAAATAAATGGTTCCCCCCAGGCCCGCAGCCATGTGCAAAACTAACCACGCATAGTTTGGATTGCGGTGCGCCGTGTTGCTTCTGGAGGTTTAAGGACCGATGCCCAATCATGGTCCACTCGTGTTGTGCGCGTGGCCTCATCTCGTCCAATTGATGCGCCGATTCTGGGCCGCGCCCTATGTTCTTGCAGACCAGTGCACACATTCCAATGGCTACGCCGATCCGCCTCAGGCTGCCTCAGCCTCAGCCTGCATCAGCCTCAGCCTCAGCCTCAGCCTGCCTCAGCCTCAGCCTGCCTCAGCCTCAGCCTCGGCCTGCCTCTGCCTCAGCCTCAGCCTGCTTCAGCCTCAGCCTCAATCTGTTTTCAGCCTCAGCCTCAGCCTCAGCCTGCATCAGCCTCAGCCTCAGCCTCAGCCTGCTTCAGCATGGATGGGGCGAGCGATGCAGATAATGATGCAGACGTCGAGGAGGAGAGGCTAACTGGGACGAAAAAGGAAGACCCAAGGGGACGAGCCAATGCGAGGAGGGAGTAGAGGGGCGAGCAGGGGAGGATGGGGCGAGGAAAAACGAAAGCTAAAAACACATGGCATCATCACAGGGGCGAAAGATGAAAGGTGAGGGAGGAGACCGATTAGAAACAACAAGCGAAGAAACAGGATGAAGGAAGGATAATAGAATGTAAACGAGAGGAGGATGAGGAACGGCGGGATGAGCGAAGGACGGCGGAGGCTTGATGAGGACAAAGAAAAGATATAGAGGGGAGCCGAAGGGAGGGGGCCGAGAAAAGAGAGAGAGAGATAGAGAGACGAGTTGAGGAGTGGGCAATCAAAAGGAAGGGAACAAATTTGAGCGTTGAAAATGGGGGAGCGACCGTGACATCGAGGGCGACGAAAAGGAAACATCCTGAACTTGCAATTGGCGTGGAGATACAACTCGGGGATGGAACACGACTACTGAAAAGGCGGGGCGGCGAAACATAATGCAGGTGCAACTCGGCAAATTATGCGACTTTGACAAATAATCAAAAAAAAAAACTTAAACATAATATGTGGGATCTTATAAATAAGCTTCAACAACCCTGAAGCTTAAAACAAGCTTCAGTGAACCCCTGGGGTCGAGGATGTCGTTCAGAATCGCGCGGACGACTTGCACAGGGAGCTGAGGCAGCTTTGGGACGACAGGTACGACGAGGAGTACGATCCGAAAGTCCTCCATCATCTCAGTCTCTTGCTTTTCAAAAAGAGGAAGTCCACGGAGCCAGCGGACACTGATCCAGCTGGCGCTCCTCAGCCTGTCTCGGAATATGACACGGCCTTTGCGTCTCAGGAGGAGACTGGCCGAGCCATTCTCTCTGTCCTTAAGCTTCGACATGACTTTCTGCGGAGCAAGAACATCGACGACATGCGCTACGTTCTCCCGGAGCCTGAGCGCCAGGAATTGGTCAGAGTAGCTCGCGACCAGTACGAGCAGTCGCGGCAGCAGCGTGCGCTTCAGGAACGGGATATCGAAAAGGGAAAAGCGAAAGGCAAGTCTGCGCCACAAGGGGGCCACGCGGTTCCGCAGGGTCCGAACAAAGGGCCAGGCGGTAAGAAAGGTTCTCACGGTGCTTCTCAGCCTGCGGGAAAAGGTGGCCAGGCCAAGGGTGCAGGTCTGGGTAGCGTCGCCAAGTTTGTGAAAGACCAGAAGCGTCAGCGGTGGCATCGCCATTTGCAACGTGTGGCCGGTACCAAACAGATCTGGGAGGTGCTGGCCTTCTCAGGGCGCTTCGACGTTGATTGGTTAACGCAAGCGTTGCAAGCTGATCACAGCGAGGGCCGTGATGCAGCAGTTCCTGAGGAAGCTCTGCGGCAACAGCGGCGCCGGCTGCACCACCAGAAGGCCGAGGCCATCGCGCGCTACAACGAGGGGGAGCGGCTTTCCCTCCCTCTGTCTGCCCAGGCTGGCCAGGCAAAGCCGAACTTCACGCGCAGGCAGCTGGACGTGTTGCAGATGTTTGAGAGCGGAGCGCTGCTTCAAATCCGCAACCAAGCGATTCTGGCGTGCGGGCACGGCCGTCTGTTCAGGGGCGATGGCGACTACCTGGACATCGGCAGCAGCACGGGCGGTGGCTCCAGGCGCATCATCGATTCTTGGCAGCCGCCGGACTGGCGTGACTTCCTCCAAGACGATCAGGACATCTGAGTTTTGCAAGTCTCTCTGCCCGCGGTGCTTCTCAGCCTGCGGTCTGCCGCTCTCCAGCTGCGGCCTCGAGCAGTAGTGTTCGAAAGCATGCGAGTTCCTGCGGTGCTTCTCAGCCTGCAGGTTTCGCAGCCTGCGCTCTGCAGTACAAGTGCTCTTCAGCATGCGACATCCTGCGGTGCTTCTCAGCCTGCAGGGTTCGCAACGTGCGGTTTGCAATGCATTCCTTTTCAGTATGCGAGTTCCTGCGGTGTTTCCCAGGCTGCAGGGCTCCGAGGCTCTTCGCTTCGATGCCAATGTTTTCAGACACCGTAGCTCCGTTCCGTAAACGTCTTCCAAGAGCCGCTCGCAACCTTTTGCAGTTGGCTGTCTGCACGCTTCGCCGGCTTTTGCTGCGCGGACAATTTTCTCACGCACGTCAGCGCCGTTTGTAGGCGTCAGAAAAACATGTAGACATTCACGAAGGGCTCAGTCTGTATATCGTCACATCATTACATGCGCAGTCGTCGAACACATCGGTGTACATTCAGCGCTTTGTCCTTCTACAGCATTCTTTCCGTTGATAACAGTGTTCTGATGGGTTCGCTTCGTTCTAAAAGCGTTGATAGCAGTGTCTCGTTTGCGGGCAACTCATTCTATATCAACTCACTGATACCGAGTTTCCTTTCACCATAAGTGAATGCATACCAGTGTATGTTGGTTACTACAAAAGTGGGTTCCTACAACCGACTTCATGATCGCTATCATCAACGCAGATTTCACTCATCCTCATCACCACGACTGGTTCACGTTGGCCTGCGGTGCTTCTCAGCCTGCAGTTCCTTTCGTTACACTGTAGTTGAAGCCGTTCATGGCAGTGACTCGTTTAAAGACAACTTTAGTATTGGGGGAAGTGTCGATAGCAGCGTTTCTTTTACTTATACAAGCGTTGATAGCAGTGTCTCGTTTGTGGACAACTCATTATATATCAACTCATTCATACAGAGTTTCTTTTCGCAGCAAGTGAATGCACAGCAGTGTATCTGCATTACTGGCCCCCACGTCATTATCACTATCATCATCAACGATTTCCTACACGCGTGTGCGCGGCGGTCGCCATGAGTGAATAGTTTGCAGAGACTTCTCGCATTGATACCCATGGGTCACTTCAGAGTGAACTCATTTGTGATCTTCTTTCATTGGAAGTTGAATCGGTTGATGGCAGTGCCTCGTTTAAACTCCACTTTGGTATTGCTAGTAGTGTCAATGCCAGCGTTTCCTTTTAATTGTGCAAGCGTTGATAGCAGTGTCTCGTTTGTGGTTAGTTATAACAGCGTTGACAGCAGTGTCTCGTTTGCGGACACCTCATTGTACATCAACTCGCTGATACCGGGTTTCCTATCAACACCATCATCATCATCCTTAACCATGTTTGCTCGAGTTTCACCTGCCGTCCAGCCGCGGCGGTGCTCCTCAGC